GTTTCTGTTCCTATTAGTTAGCGATTACGCTTGTGTTGGTAGATTGCATAATATAGACATTTACTTCCAGCCACAGATCTGTGACCAAGTGTTTGTTTCATGTAGGCTGCTGAATGAGCTTTCTGATTGTTGAATTATTTAAAAATTCTAATGTTGCATTGATCTGGCTAGTGCAAGTAACGTATAAGTTCCACATAAAATGCAGTAGAGGTTCCCATTTCATGTCAGTAACCTACATGTTTTCTGGTGTGGACTTGGAACAGCTGATGTAGCTTTTATCTCCTATAGAAAACTGTTGGAAGTAGGAAGAAACATATATAGCATTCGTCATGTATCTTACTGTGCCTTTGTGTTCGTGATGGCTACTGCTAAAAGTCTTTAGTATCCCATCTGTCAGGCACCTCACAACATGTCGCATATTTACCCTTTTGATCCCTCTCTTGTCTCTGTTTGTATGGAGCTAATGACACTTCTGGCATGCAGGTCTGGAGTGAGGTCAGGATAATTTCCTGCAGTCACGTGAGAAGACTGCAGTGGGGTAGGGACCTGAACCTAAACCTTTCTCCAGCTGAGTTTGTGCCCTCACTACTTTCTAAAAACCATGCTAGTTTTGGAAAGCTAGAACATATTGAGGGGGGGAGGCAAAGGTAGCTGGACGGCTGGCGATGCTGTAAATTTAGCCGTAAGTTGTTAACCCAGTCCACATTTTTTAACTGTTATAGGAAGAAGTGAGTGCTGGCTTGGGATCTTCTGCTTTGTAAAGATGTTATAAAATCAATAGTGTGGTGTGAATCAGACTTCTGTGTGTGTACAGAAAAAATTACTCTACTTTGATGCCTAAGAATATCAATATTTAGTTCTGCCAGTGCTAGGGTTAGTGAAATTCTGGTTGTCTGTGCAGTGATTTGGAGGTAGAAAACATTACCCATTTGGCTGCTTCTAAGCTTTGTAACTGAACCACGCAGTAAATGTCATGTTTCCCAAACTTAACCTTTTAGCCCCAAGCATTCCAAGAAGATTTGATGGTGCAGCCTCCGCTGTTTCTGATAGAAAATTGACAAAAAGATCCCTTAAATAGAAACATCTTCAGTTGCAGAAAGATCTTTGTGTGATGTAGAAATTGATCTTGAAAGAGCCCAGTCCTGTTGTGTGTTGGCAAAAAGCAGAGAGCTTGTAGATTTTGGACTGTTTTTAATGACTGTGTGATCTATACAATGGAGCAGCCTGTTAATCTCCATTTCCTTTCTGTTTCTAGGTATCAGCGCAAGGGAGTAAAACCTCATCAGAAGCAGAGTCCCGAATTTTCTGGTTAGGTCTAATTACCTGTCCTATGATCTGGGTGATATTTGCTTTCAGCGCTCTCTTTTCTTTCAAAGTGAAATGGCTGGTGAGTGGACTCCCTCAACTCAGTAACGGATCCTGTATGTTGCAGGCAAGGCGGTGTAAATCAGTGACTCTATTTTCTTGTGTCCTAGGCAGTGGTTGTGATGGGAGTGGTGCTTCAGGGGGCCAACCTTTATGGTTACATCAGGTGTAAAGTTGGCAGTAGAAAGAACTTGACAAGCATGGCGACCAACTATCTTGGGAAGCAGTTCTTGCGGCAGGTAAGATTTCCAGGGTTTTGGAAACCCTCCAGTCATATTTGTTTCTGTCCATCAGCTTCCTTAGTGCCCGAGCCGTGAAAAGAAAGACTGAAAAAATTGTTATTTGTAGTTCTGCAGAAGAAACCTTCACACCTTGCTGCCTTGTGAATTTGACCCCCCCTTAACAAAGTCACAGAGCGAGTTGCTAATTATTGGCATCAAGTTCCATTTGCAGCACATCATGAGCTCATATTTGCTGGTGTCATGGACAGGTGCCATAGAAGCTACTGGAATATGGCTGGTATATTGGAAATAAGGAACACAGTGAATGTGGTGACACAGTGAAATGGTTTTTGATAAAACTACTGCTCTTGGATAATGCATTGCTAAATTACTCCTTTCATTGCGCTGCTTCTTCTTCAGGTTGTGCTAGCCACCAAGCTATGCATCTGGAGGGATGTTGCATTGGTCCCTGTGCTTCAGTGCACAGCCCTTAGTCGAAAGGGCTGCCGCTGCCTTTTATATTCTTTCTCAGTTCCAACCAGCTCTTCTCAAGAGGTCCTTTTTTGCCCCAGCACTGGGTTTTCTTCCTTCCGTAGGTCCCTGCAGCAGTAGGCACAACCATCCCCTGTTCTGATTCCAGGCTGTCATTTGACTTCTGCTTTCACTGAGTTTCCCGAGTGTGCTGTATTACGCCCGCGACTCTGGGGACAGGTGGTTTGGCTGCCACAGGTTCAGAAATGTTTGCTGGAATTACTCTTGTTAGTGTGATTGAAAGCTAAGACATTGATAAACCTTTCTTGGAAGTCTGTGCTGGGATCGTGCTCTTCCGTAGCTGGATTTGCTTCTGAATGCTTTTACCACTGCAGTGGTTAACCAGAGGCCCAGAGCAGTCTCAGTCTCTGGCAGAAATTAATGTCTTGCCCCAGAATCACGGCAGTGAGTCATACAGTTCTCCTGTATTCCCTTTCTTCTTTTTTTTCTTTTTTTTGCCTTCTGCAGACTGTGGCTAAAGAGGACCAAACAGCATCCTGAGTATGGGGAGAAGCCTCAAACCAGACCGGATCCGCAGTAGTGGACAACAGAGAATGTTGCTCTGACCATGAGATTTGGGAGCTGCATACATGAGGTGTGAATTAAAAGAAGTAAATAAATTGTGCAAGACTTCAGGTTAATACTCCTGGCGACTTATATTCAATTTTCCACTAGCAGTTTGTGTTTCAGTCCTTTCTTTAGTTTGATTAATTTGCCTAAACTTTAAATTAAAAAATATCCTAGGTGGTTCTCATACAGGTTTAGAACTACAGGATGAATTAAGAGGAAATTGCTGGACATCCTTCTTCAGAAAAACCATGCACAAGCCGATCCTTGTTATCCAAGAGCTCCCCCAACTCCTCCAGCAGTTGGTGCCTCAGATCGTATCAATTGTGGACTTTGCCGCGTTTTGTTCTTGGAGGTCATTGCTGCTTCTGTTACGAAGTTTAGATAGCGCTCTTTTGGCTCCGCTTTTCTCTCATTCTGTGATTTGAACGGTGCTGAGGCGGTTGCAGTGAAGGACATGTAAAGGAAATGTTGCCATTGGCTTAGTAGGAAGATCGCTGAAGTCTTGTGGAAACTGCAGAAAGCGACTTCTGAGCAGCTCCGGTCTTTTATTTATCTGAAGCTTTCTTGGGGGTCTCAGTAACATTTTAAACCCCTGGATTTATGGAAAATCCTTCTTTTACCTGTAGGCCTGTGTCTGTATGGAGAGAGTAGCAAGAGTAAAACCAGATTACAAGGAAAGTTGCAGGTGCAGTTTCAGAGGCAAAGTGAACCTTGAGAGTCATCATCTGAGCAATGCTGTTAAACTGATGCCGTTGGCGTCACATCAGTGCTGCGCAGTAGCCTGTGTTCCGTGCCACGGGTCTTTTTCTCTGGCCAGGAGTGTGTAGGATGATGTGATCTGCAGTTTCCTCTCCAACCCCTCAGCACAGGGTCACAGAGAACATAACCAATAGGGTTTTACATTTCTTGACTCCATGCAGTATGCTGTCCTTAAGCCGTGCTCCCCAAGGAGTCTGTGAGCTGGAAAAAAAACCTTTCGTAGGCTCGTGAAATGTTGGCTGGCAGTGTTCACTTCAATGGCAGAAAGTGGTGTGTGTGAAAAGCCGTGTGAAAGGGATCAGTTTCTTCTTGTCACGTAGTTCTTTTCAAGGCAGATTGTGCTTTTGCAGCGGTGGATATTGTAAACTTCGGATGAGGTAATTTAAATTAAGAATATGGTTTCTTTTTGAATAATGGGTATTGTAAATTGTGGGATTGCGTTAACATGATTTCTCTCCCTGTACTGTAGCAATACTTGGGCGCTGTACATTTGTTTAACTCTTCGGATTGATACCTTCCTTTTGTAAATATGTATTTATAAAATCTTGAAATTAAAATAATGCTTTGTTTAACCAGACCAGATAACTCTTCTATGATTCATGGCTGAGCTCTGTTTACACACTGTGTTCTTGTAATGTAGTTTTAACAGGGGTTACTTGTTAAGTGGAGCTGTTCAAGGGTCTTGGACAGCTTTGCCTGTGCAAACACTTTCTTTGTAAGCGTGCTGGAGTCGTTATCATGCAGAGCTGAAGTAACTGTCACTCTGTAAGGCTCGGCTGGAGGGGCTAAGAGGCTCCTTCGGGCCCCTCTGCCCAGGTCCCTGGCAGTAAGTGCTACCCTAAGTGCTTGTGCCACTATGTAGCGGGAAGTTCTAGTCCGCATTTACAGGGAAGGGATGATTTATTTTGAAGGAATTAATGTAAACAGGCAAAACGAAGTCAATTACTGAAGTAAAGGTCCTTCTGCAGCCACGCGGGGACACGCAAGTGCAGCATCTGGCCCGTACAGTGTGATGGATCAGAAATCTTTTCTGCTGCAGTTCAACAAGCCCCCAGTTTGCTGCTGCTGTCGGAGGGACAGCACTGACTCCAGCATAGCTCCAGCCACGAGGTAGTTGTTTTAAAATGTGTTGAAAGTTTTGGACTTAATGTTTATTCCCGTGCTGCCAAAGCTCCCCCCAAACTGCTAGAAAATAAGAGTGCTTTTCTGGAAGTTGCAGTTTATTTAATCAAGGACAGAGGCATTTATTAGTATGTGTCTTTAAATATAGCCCTCTCTGGCTTATTTTTAGTCTCTTGGCAAACATTCAGTCTTTTGGCTTCTGAGAAGCTGCCATTTTTGTGTGTTTCTCCACGGCATGGATCAGAACCAAATTTCTTATCGCTGTTCCAGTTGGGTGTGAGTCTCGTTTGATTTTTACTCGCTGTCTGCTGGGATTTCCTGTGCAGCAGGAAGTGGGAGTTGCTGCCGAATGGGGAAATTCTCTGAATGTGCTTTTTTTGACAAGTCTCGGGAATCCACAGTAAGCCGGTTTCTTGAGCATTAGCTGTGTAATGGTGGCCCCACCTAAGATCTCCAGGCCTGGGTGGTGGCTGAACTTCCAGGGTTTCCAGAAGCAGAAATACTCCAAGAGCAATAATAATAAAATACTGTTTGCTCTGAAATAGCAAAGTACGCCTCAGCCCAGCTGAAAGGTGGGCTTGAAATCCTTCTCACTTTACAAGCAGAGCCATTTTGAGTCTTTGGAGCATAGTGTCTTGGACCAGCAGGGAGCTTGCTCACAGAGCTGGGGACAGAAGGGGCCCTGGGTGACATTTACTGTCTGCTTTGGGGCGTGCAAGGCCTCATCCTGCTCATGTGTCCTAGGGATGAGCTGCTCTGTTGCTCTTTGACTGCAGCCAGGACCTGTCCCCTTGGTTTGTCACCCGCTGTGGCATGGCGCTGTGCAGCCAGCGGGGTGCTGATGTCCCCAGGAGGTGGCGGACTTCAGGGACAGAAGCAGTGCTTCTTCTGGCCCCATGGTTTAACACTTTACCAGGGAGCATCCAAACATTCTCAGAAAGAGCTTTAGAGGCAGTTTTGCCCCTTTGGGTGCATCTCTCCTTTCCTCTGTGCTACCCGCCTGCCCCAGGGGAGAACCGCAGGGGAGCGCGAAGGAGGGATGCTGCGTGTGCGCCGAAGGAGGGATGCTGCATGTGCACCGACAACCTGGCCCCGGGCACTTGGAGCCTGTCTGTGTCTTTTCCTCCAGAGATTTCTAGGGAGACTTGCCGGGCCCGGAGGGCTGCAGGGAAAGGTCTATTGTAGTTGCTTGGCAAAGGCCGCAGTCAGCCCTGCTCCCATGGGACAGGACATCCCAGCTGGTATTTCCTAAACAAAAAACTGCAATGACTAATGGAGAGTGACCTTTGGGGAGACCAAAGGGAGCGAGGATGCGGGTGAGGAGGGGGGGATGTTGGCCAGGACCCAGCGCTGGTTCCAGGGCTCCTGGCAGGAAGGAATTTCTCACTTCCCTCCTGCCCTTCCGTGCAATCAGCCCCAGTTTGGGAGCGGGCATCCCTTCCCACCCTGCACACCCGCGGCAAACTAAGAGCCTCCCCACTGCCCTGATAAGACAGGCAAAGGGTAGAGAGAAAGGAAATGCTATTTCTCTTTTACCGATAGCAGCATTTTTATACCACAGAGGACACGTGGGCCTGTTGTTATCTGCCTCTGTGTGTTGAAAGCAAACCGGGTGTGTTGAATGTGATTCCAGTTCCTTCCTATCCTCTCCGGTGCCAGTGTGTGGCTCAGGGCAGCTGATGTTGGGGATGCACTGCGCTGGTTTCCACCACTCAGCCGCAGGCTGCGGCGCTTGACTGCTTGAGTTTCACTTCTGTTTCTCGAGGGGAGGCATCACCTTTGGGTGCTGCTGTGGGGACAGCCTCTTCCTTGGCTTGCAGTAGGTATGGGTGCTCCCAGATGTGTATTGAAGCTGCGAGAATGGCTCTCAGGGTCAGACTGAAGTCATCAAACCCAAGACTTGTCTCAAGCAGTAGCTAATTCCGTGTGCCTAGCAAAGACTGCATGGAAATCAAAAATGCACAGCCACGCTTCCGGAACACCTTTTGTACCTCCATGGGTTTGTGGCTCCCTCTGTGCCACCTGATGAATTTTGCTGCCATTAATTCGACTGATTCCTTTCTGAGACCATGCTGACTTTTCATATCTGCAATGTCCTGCAGCAGAGAGCTCCGCTGATTAACACATCCTTTGGTTTGGATTCTTTCACAAACTATTAATTTATAAATTACCCAGTTAATGGCTATTAATGTCAAATCATCTCATCTTCCAGCTGCTTGCTACGCATTTCAAAGAGCTTCAGTATTTGCCAGGTGGGACTTCCCTTGGTAAGAGCCAAGTTGATGCTCTTCATCTATTTCTTATCTCTGTCAATCCTGGTCTTTAGAAGTCTGAGCGATTTGTTCAATATAGGAGTTGGATTTTCTGGTCTCTTATTGCTCATATTCCTCCCAGAATCCATAAAAAACCAAAACAATCAAAAAAAAAAAAAACAAACCCAAAACCAAACAAAACCCCACTTGCCACCTTCCACCCGTTGGCACCAGGACAAGCAGTCTGTTTGTCTGGGAATTAGTGGCTTGGTGGGTTCATCCCTGAGCCCTTTGGACTCCTGGAAACCTCCTTGCCCTCCTGGGTTATTCTTCTTCATGTTGCCGGCTTGTGCAAACCTCCTATTTAGTTCATTTTGGGATAGTTCTTTAGATTATTTTTTTTTCAATCACAAAGCAATGTGTAAACAACTCCATAGTAACCACTAGAGTACATGAGTCATTTAGCTTTTCTGCCACAGGATGTACTCATTTGCTCTTGCCTGCTGTTATGTTTCCAGATTAAAGAGGGTTTAGTTGTTGAGGCAGTTACTCACGATTTCCTACTGAGTATACCAGCGTGAAGTCCAGCCCTTTTTTGACGGTTTGTACAACTTCTCCCCTGTTAGATAGAGCCTCTACCCTTGTGGGACCTTCCACGCTTGTCATCTGTCCCCTCTGCTGTAAGGTTTGAAACTCCATATAAGTTTCTTTTAAATTAGTAGCTGGATTATATTTTGCTTTTGTTGGAGCCCTCCCTCACATCTGGACCCTGTTGCAGAAGGAATTTGAATCGCCCAC